CATATTTATAGAAAAACTGATTTTTCAAAGAAAAGTGGCCTTTGATAACCCATGGCTTTAAACATAAACTAAAACACGCAATATTCAAGAAAACATACAAAACACACAATTTTGCATACAAAAAGCATAGAAACTTGCATTATTTAAAAGACAATGCAAACATCACACATATGCCATGGAAGACAAAGACACTTACCCGAATGCCCACTTTTGTGTCTTACATGCAAGATATAAAATAAATATAACCTAAAGTATGCAACTAAACATACAAGAATGGTCTTGGACCCGGTTTGAGGCTACTACATGATGAATATGCATAAGAAGACAACTAACAAATAAAAGCATAAATGTAAACTAACTACATGATGAATCAAACTAGGCCATGCAGGCTGATTATATGATCAAAATAAACCTAAAAACGTGTTCTTCTAACTAAAAAAAAAGAGAACATGAAAAAAGAGGCCAGCTAGTAATGTAAATCATAGTATTATAACGCAGCAGAAAAAACATTTAGATCATACCTTTAGGTGATAGAACCTCGCGGGTAAATCACGTGCTTCCAGAATCTGAACAACGAACCCAGTAGTGGAGTGATACTACAAAATGAGTATTACCCACACAAGTCACAGTGCAAAATGGCTTGATCGTTGTTTAATGGGAGAGAGTCAGAGAGAGAGTCTGGGAAAAAAGGTTATGGGTAAAAACCACATAACGTATCTGATATATCAATATATTATATAAAATATATAATCAGATATATAACCACCAATATCTATCTATCCATCTATCCATATCTATTGATATGATAGATATAGATATCCTGAATGGTTATCCAAATAAGTTTTGAATTAAAATTCAAACTTACATGGATAAGGTTCAAAAGGTTCAGGTTCAAAAGGTTCAAAGGGTCATGCCACATGGGCGCCCAATTTCTAACAAATAAGAAACAATATGAGACTACATGATGTTAAGATGGACTAACAACCTAGCATGGATTGACTACTGAAAATAAGCCAAAAGACTACTGAAATATAGAGAGTAAAAGGAGTTTACCTTTTGATTTTCTAGAACCGAAGAGCACGTAGAGAATAATGCAAAGAAACAACGAGTTCTTTGCTTGCAAGCTTCCCTCAGGCTTGGAATCCAAATTTGGGTTAAAGGTCTTCAATCCTTAGGTGTTCTTCAATGTTTAGAGTTGTTGTGGATAGGATATTTTTCGAGGTAAGGCCAGAGGAGAGGGGGAGGGGGCGTATTTTGCTCTTAAAATGCACAAAAAGGCTTCAAGTCCTTGACCGTTTCAAAGGGAGAGAGAGAGAGAGAGAGAGAGAGAGAGGCTCTATTTATAGAGCTGGGGGAAGCCTCTGGAACCCTTCTAGGGTTTCATCGCTTCCTCCTCCGCCGTTCCCACAAAAAATGCACTAAAATTGAGTTACCAAAAATAACTCTACAATGCTTCAATGTGCACATGTACGGACCAAGTGCGCACGTACAAACAACGTGCATACTCACATCTAATGTGTGCACACGCACTTTGCCTTGGTACACGTGCCATACATGCACGCACAAGTACGTGATCCTAAACCCTTGGCTTGCTTGTGGCACAAGTATGCCCAAATTGCATTTTGATCAATATCTTTTAATAAAATGGGTCACTAATTTTGAAAAATATGATCAATCAAAGCACAATTGAGCTTTCCGAGGTTAAGAAGCTGGTTTTTTGGCTAAAAACGGGCCCATGGATAAAATGATCATTTTTGTAAAAAGTTAATATTTGGCCAAAACAGGTTTACACAGTAACTCTAAACAACCTTTAAACATTCCAAGGATGAAATAAATACCATTTCATAATCGGGAGGCTCGCAAGCGCTCGAAATGTTAGGGTTAGTTAAAATGGGATGCCTACAATATAATACAAAGTTTTCTCTCTCTCTCTCTCTCTCTCTCTCTCTCTAATATCATAACATAAGCATTGAAAATGTTGACTTGAACATTGAAAATGTTAGTTTACTACTTAGCATTTTGGTTTTTTGTTTATCTCGTTTGTATAGTCATTGAGAAGATGAGTTTCTTTGCCATGTATTTGGATAACCAGAGTTGAACTTTTACAAATGTTCGATTATTTATATTTGAACAAAATAATTTTGTTCAAATCATTAAGATTGACCAAATATTAAATGTTCATAGATAACAAATTGAACATTTTCAGTTAGTTCGGTTAAAAGAAATTAAACTTTTATTCTTTGTTTAGGTATAAATTTTTGAACACATTAAGTTTGTTCAACTCTGTATTTATGAACATGACTTTTTTTTTTTGGTTAAATTTTTTATAGAAATCTATACCCACCCAATGTAGCAATGTTAAAACTGATTGTATTGTATTGTTGACTACACAAGTGAATATGTTACTAAAGAGGTACGATCATGTTTGAAGACAATATAAACGGATAGTTTTTTTTTATTATTATTTTGTTTTGTTTTTAATTTTGAAAATGTACTAAAGTTGTTTTCGTTTTATATGTAGGTTTTCAAAAGTAAAGAAGCATTGCTTAGTTGGTATGGAAAGACGACACATGCTAAGGTTCGCACCAAAAGGTACATGCTGAGGTTTGTGCCAAATAGATAGTACCTGTCAAGAGACGCATGTCTACCAAAGCTTGGTGGTTCAGGATAGAATATCATGCGACACGTGTTGTTGCACTATTTGGCCACTTGGTATATTCTGATACGAAGTAAAAGTCTATAAATAGGACCCATTTTCCAAAATTTAAAAGAGAACTTCTTGAAATTTGGGAAGATATGTTTCCCATTCGTGCACTACCATATTCTTTCTTGAAACCACTTGCTCCACCCTCACCCGGTTGCTCACTCTGTGGTTACTCCAGATGGTTGGCTTATTAGCATAGTTTTGCCTCTCTAAGTATTATTATTGTTTACTATTCATTTTGGACCCCCTACAGTAGGCAACAATTCTCTTTATTACTGAATATATCTATTATTTTCAAGATAAATAAGTGCTGAAAAAGAATTAATGGAAATAGACTTGTTATTGGGTACATTTTGAGGAACTAGTCCAGTGCAATCCACTTGCCAGAAAATCCCAGTGATCTCTGTATGCAAATCCATGCCAGCTAGAATCTCGAGTAACTGGTTACATATTCCACACAAAATATTAAAAAAGTAAAGAAAATATTTCTTTTCTATTGAGTCTTATTTATTTATTTCAATTAGAGGTTTGATCCAATGCCCATACCTAAGTCCTTGCAATTAGATGTTAAACTCCTTGTTGAATTAAGCCTTTGCAAATTGACGTTGCCTTTCCCCTTTTTTTATTTTTTTTATATTTTTTTTTAACATAGGTGGCGAGTTTCGGGATAGATTTATCTTTGCAGTGTAGAATTATCTACTTATTTAGTTGTCCTTGGATTTGGATCCAAGTTTATCATATTCAAACCCTTGAAAGCTGAAACTAATCGCCAATTTAATGATATCTCTACAGCTACTGCAATGACTGCAGAGATCTAGACTTGTGCCGCGATCAAGCTTTAATGGCTCAAGAGTGGCACTGCGCCATGCCACAATGTGGACAGCCCTATGACCGTGAAGTAATGGAGAACACACCTCTTCAGATCGTACGGCAGAGAGAGTGCCTCTACCATCTGCAGGACCTGGTTTGCTTCAAGTGCAACCAGGTTAAAGCAGCACACTTAGCTGAGCATTGTGGTTGTGCTGGCTCATTTAGATGCAAGGAAGACATGTCTGAGTTCTGCAACAAAATGCAGGTCTTCTTGAACATAGCCGTCCATCAGAAATTTCAACTACTCCAAGAATGTACCTCATGGATTCTCGAAATTAAATAAAATTCCAGATCAGGTATCTTTTTTGCGTGTGCTCGCACTAATTATATTATCCCCGAGCTGTGACAGAGCTGAAAGTGAACCATTTAACCGGAGAGGATAAAGCTTGCTTCTTCTGACCATCTAAAATGGACTAGATTATAGCTGCAGAACTTTGATACATGTATGCCTGCTGTTAACTCAGCAAAATGCAATGTACATTATGATGATGCATATTATAAGGAAATCACTAATTGAATGCAATTCTTTTATTTGTATATAGAATTAAGAGTTTGAATTGTAATCCCTTAACAGTTTCACTTTTGATCAACCAAAATTAATTGGTTTATGTATTTTGCTCCACTTTTGTGGTGAGCTGTACCATGTAATAGGCTGACTGTCAGGTGAGGATCCTTCATGCTAATATAGTTAGCTGCTGTTTTCTTTTCTTTTCTTATGTTCTTTTTTATGCATCACGCTATGCTTGCAAAGTTAGGCTCTTTAGGGCCGTGTTTGGATGTTAAATTTGTGGAGGAAAAAGAAAAATGATGATTTAACCTGTCTTTTCATGAATATAACTTATTTTTTATTTTTTTTGGGCACAAAATGACAATTACTATGTTAGTAGTTAGATTATAATAAAGACAAATGTCTCTATAAACTCAAACTTGAAATCTCACTCACCTTGATACCTAAGTGTCCTCTTCATGACCACTTAAGCAATTGCTCAGAGTCAAATATAACCAATGCTATAATCTATAATTTATTTGTCTCCTTGTTCCTAAAAATAAATAAATAAATAATATGTGTATATACATATAACTGATGCTTTAAAAAGGGAGTTTTGCTTTAAGTCATTGTGAACTTGTAGGGGTGATTGCTAAAATCCACAGCTCCTCCGGTACATGGAGGTGAAACAATCTGCAATTTTCTCCATAGATGAGACAACAAAAGTCTTGGTTTACCAAACCAAACAGCCATTTCTGTTCTCATTGATTAGCAAAATAAAGAAGCTAATTTACAATTAGAGGAATAAATTCAAGATCCAAATACAGTCTCAGTCAAATTTTTCGTGGGGTTACTTCCAAGCCACAGCATAAATCAGCGAATGACAATAAATTTGGACAAAAAAGAAAAAAGAAAAAAGAAAAAGAAAAAAGAGAAAGGTTATGAGCCATAAAAAAGAGGAATAAAATAGACAACTGAGAACAAATCAAATCTAAATACATCCAATAATGTTTGACAACTGAGAAAATTCAACTAGTCCTATTTGCTCACTTTTGAACAAGGCATACAAAAATTATCACAATATCCAAGCCTCCTGTTGAGGCAAAATATGCTTCACTGCTTTAGTACACCCCACAAGAGGAGGCTTCATCACAAAACGGTCACTGAGTATACATTTTGTGATACTGTAGAACCTCCAACTTCCACCATTACCACAAGAGCAGATGTTCATATAGTAGACAAAGCAGCAATAACTTTCACCAAAAGAACCATTTTTTGGTTGTAGAACCTCCGACAACTCCAACAACGGGCTCATCCTTTTTTCTCTTTTCCATTCCCATCTTCAAGGCCTCCAATCTTCTCCTGCAAATGGTTCAACTTAAGCTGGTAGACAATAATCACAGAGGTTCAACTTGAAAAAGAGAGAGAGAGAGAGAGAGAGAGAGAGAGAGAGAGAAGAAGCATTGACTGTGTGGTTGTGCTAACCTAACTAACATTCTATAACCAGTGCAAAAAATAAGAATAAATAATTGTTTGCTATTCTCTCTTTTTCCTTCCATTATTTTACAATGTAAACCAGTTGACTCCTAATACTTTGCCATATGTATTTAATAGAAATAGAATATGGAGTTTCATGCATCTTGGAAATATTTAACCAATGCAACTGGTTACGATTAGTTTTTCCTCTAACTAATTGAACCATCAGCTTGTAAAGTGAATGGTCAAAATGAATCTTTAAGCCACCTGGAACATAGAAAAGAAAAACAAAAGTGTGCTTAATCAAAATACAAGTGTGTAAAAATACTTGGTATCTGTGAGGCGACCATGTAAACTCCATCTCTGGCGAAATCCATCCATGCCTTCAATTCCACTGGCCAGAATTAAGCGCCTACAACATTGAAAAAACATAATCACTGTAATCAATTAATCCCACAATCAATCTCAGGGGCTTCTAGAGTTATTTAAAAGAAAAAAAGAAAAGAAAAAGGAATATGTCAAAGATAAACAGGCAAATTCTCTTGTATTTGTTGGTTTTAGAGCCAAATCTTTTAAAAAGCTGATCCCATAACGAGGGAAAGGAAGAATGTGAACATGAACTATAATTTTTCTGTTTTTGTTTTTGTTTTCTTTCTTTCGTTTGCTCTTTCTTTCTTTCTTATTTTTTATTTTATTTTTTTATAGAGTAGCATGGTGGGTAGATTTTATGTCCATTGTAGGAACAACAAAAACGCAAAACAGAAAACAGGAGGAAAACAAAGTCTACAACACGTAGCATATGTTGGAATAGCATTATATTGCCACCTTTAAAAAACTTTCACAATTCATAAACATGTCATATTTCATGCTTGCTTATGAATACTAAATACCTATCCAATGATGTGACTTCTGATTCTAGTTGAGCCGCTCTTTCGTTTGCTTCATCTAAAGGCATAGTTGACCCCAATTTGCGCTCACTATCTTGAAGTCGTTCCCTTAGTTCCTTATCCTAAAGTCAGTTGAACAATCTGAATTAGACAGGTGATAAAATGCAATAGAATGAAGAGACCTCCATTTACAATATATTGACATCGCAACTAACAAGAGTAGTAGAAAATAAATCAACTATTATCTCACCCTTTTCTCTGCACATTGCCGATATAGAGCAATCTCATCCTGACAAAATGGCTCAATATCATTGATTTGCAAACCTATAACATAAAGCCAAAAGGGGCAACAGGAAAAAACATTTAAAGAACAACAAAACTTAATAAACGAGAGAACAAGAACAATAAGGAGAAGGGAAGGAAAAAAGGCAGAACTTACACAAAAATAGGTTCCTCAATATCCCATCACACAAATCAACGCCTTCGAGTACATGAGAGGCAATTTCTGGTGGAATGAGTGGTGATGGAGGCCCCATCATAAGATCATCACCGACCAAAATAGTTTCCTCCATCATTGGTTGCGAATCAACTAAAATCCATGAAAGGGAAACAACTCGTAAGTATAATTCTTCCCTGGTTTTAAAGCTTTGTTACATCAAGTAGCCTACAAGATACTCACTAGAGCTCCAAAATACAAAGGTATGATGTGAGGCCTAGGATCTAAAAACATTGACATGTAAGCTTTATGGCACAAGCTCAAGCCACATGTCTATGAAATAATTTGATTTTAACTGATGATAGAAAAACGGGGGAAAATAATATAGTAGGACCTTTTAATTCCAAATTTGTACCACCAATTAATATTTGATTGATGGGAAACCACAGTTTCAAAAAGATTCTAAAAAATTTAATCATGAAGCAGCATGCATGTTAAATCCCATGTATTGATTTGAGGAACAATAAATCAACACATATGTGAGAGTGTGTGTGTGTGTGTATATAAATATACTCCACCTTTGGTCCTTCAAGAGGGGTAACTCTATTCTTTTCTTCATATAATACACAACACACATGCCAATAATAGAGGAACTTAAAATGTTGAATTCAATGTTCCATGTCCACTCCACACTTTGATAGGTGAGTTGGAAGGAAATCAAATCCTCAAAAGCATTAGCAACAAGAGCTTCTCCACAATCCTCGTGCATTCTAAAACACTCATTGGAACATTTCCTTCTCATATATGTTAAGACATCCATCCAAATTTCTAATTATTTCAGCCTAGATTGATCATCCTATTATTTGTCACTTCTATAGCTTATACCACCACTCAAACAATCACAATAGTTGCTAGCCCCCAAAAAACCTAACCCAAGTAAACAGGAGCAATATCTCATAAAAGAGTTAAAATGTTTTTGAATAGAATAGAGCTTCAAAGTTCAATTTAAGGGTTTCAAACAGACCATCCATGATTGCAATATGTCTTATGCATGTATGTATGTAGGTAGGTAGGTTTCACATACCATCCATGATTGCTTTGTGTTGCTCTGATTAGACGCCCCCAACATCAAATTCAGTGCTCGATCAGAGTTCTACGATTACAGGTTTAAACAAGAAAATGTGAAAACCAGCCAACCTATCACCAGAAATGAGAGAGAGAGAGAGAGAGAGAGAGAGAGAGAGAGTCTCAAACAGACCAAATGACACCAGAGAGATCATGAATGAAATTCGCTCCATTTTCTAATGATGGCACCTTGTGTTCATGCACACTTCAAATGACATAATAATTTAATTTAAATAACCATCTATACTATATATAAAGCAAACACCATAATTGGTGTTTATGTCACAGTTTTTTTTTTGTTTTTTTTTTTTTTTTTTGGGCGAAACTATCCACAAAAGCCCTTATAACAGCAGTTATGCCATTATTCAGTTATGTCCCAAATTCAGTTCTTTTTTTTTTTTTACTTTTTTCTTTTGTTACTTTTGATTTTTCAGATTCACCAAATTTTTTAGATTATGAATTCAAGCATACATTTCACAATTTTATTTCATTGAAAGAAAACAATCCAATGCGCACGCATGGTGTGCGCCACCACTTCTAGTTTCTCGAAAAGTGTACACAAAATAAACCTAAATTATATTAAAAAGAAGTGAAGATATTATGAAAAATACAATACTCATTGTAAAATGTAAATAAAATATTATACAATAGAAAATCCGATGGTAAAAATTTTGCATTTCATCGAAAAAGAAAGTAAGAAAGATGAGTTCTATAACAAAAAAAACTTTCCAATCTACAATAATACAATAACTCAAAGAGTGGCTGGGCCAAATGATAAGGTTCGCCATTAGCGTCCTTGGTGGAGCAAGTTCGAGTCACGAAAATAACCTCTCCAAAAATTGGGATAATGTTGCATACAATTTGTCCCCCTTAGGCCCCACTAAGGCTAAGTTTATTTTTCTGACTAGTTAGTTTTCTTAAATTACTACATTATTTAAATGCTTATTTTCCTAGTTTGTTTTTCTTAGTTATTTGATTCAATATTACTTATTTTTTTATTCATCTAGACCACATAAATTTGTATTAAAAAAAAAAAAAAAATAGGTACACAATACAAAACAAGGCTCACAAATTGGATCGATAGGATCGAATTCGGATCGAAATTCTACAATCCTATAATATCCAATTATCAAGATTGAAAGATCCAACCTATAAAGGATTTTTTACACGATCTGAATCTATTGTGCCCAAATGGATTGTAAGATCTGGATCGAAATTTTGATAACCATTACTTCAACAACACTTGTTTTCCAATAATCAATTTTGTTTGTCAATTTCTCATGTTGCACGATGTTCATTCATGCTTAGGTGGGGTTAGGCTTAGGGTTTGAAAGATTAGGAATAGGGGTATGATTGGAATTTCATATTAGGGTAAAATTATAAGAGGGTTGCTAAATGTCCCTACCTTGCTTTTTAGGACCTCTCACTTCTTTGAACCCCCACCATCAAAATTGCTCCCTTCCTCATTTTCTTTGGACCCCTACCATAATCCCAAATATACCCTCACTCCAACATTTTGCCTCCCTTCTCTCACTTCACCGGTCCCCAACCATAACCCATTCCGACTGACAACCTCCCCCACAATCACAGCCCCAGCCGACAGCATCCCCGTCGTCGCCCGCTCATCCCCAAACCAGACCCACCACACCACCACCACCACCACCACCACCACCTCTCCCCCATCCACCATCTTACACAAACCCCCCATCGCCGTCGCTCTCCCTTTCAATCATTCATCAATATCGCCACCCACAAAACAACCCTAGAGCCCTCTCCCATCATGCTCGTGTTTGATTTTTCTTCATTTGAAACTGTCTCGCCTGGTTTGGAAAACCAGTACCAAACAAATGGTGGAGGTTCGGATGCAGACTAGTGAACAAATGGTGGTAGTTCAGGTGAAGACTGTCAAACAAATGGTGGTGGTTCAAGCTTGAACTATTGAACCGAATGAGAGAAGAGAATTTAGTACAAACGCAAGCGAGTCTAGCCCAGTTTCGAGGATCATCTTCGAGCATGAAGAAAATGTTGAGAACAACGCCCTCGAAGAGCTTTGAAAACATTGTATCAGTCATTATCGTTACAAACAGAGAAATGGGTATTGATACAAATTTTCAATTGTTCTATTTTTCTAATCCTCTTCCTCCTCCTCCTCTACTTCTTCCCCCAAAACCCTAGCCTAGATCTAAGATTTTTGATCTAAAAGCAACAATCTTCGGCGGAGGTGGAGAAGTGGTGACTGCCACTTCTCTCTCTCTCTCTCTCCCACTCTCAGTGGCGGTGGTGAGGGGGCTACAAAGGTGGTGGTGGTCGCGACGATGAGACATCGGAGGGAGTAGTGGTTGCAGCGACTAGGGGCTGCTGGATGGTGGACGGAGATGGTGGTGATTGCCGGAGGTGGTGGGGGATGCGATTAGGATTAGGGTTAGGGTTTGGGTTTGGATTTGAAAAATTAGGGTTAGAAGATTAAGGATGAGGGTAAAAATGAAATTTTATGTTTGGACAAAATTGAAATTAAAAAAAAAATGGAGTAGGGGCATTAGCAACTATCAATTATAATTAAAAAGATTAGTTAGATGTGTGGTCCAAAGAAATTTGGTGAGGCAACTAGTAACACTCTTATTCTAATTATGACTATAGTCGCGCAGTATTTGGGTACAAAGAGCAACCTAATAGTAAAACTGTATCCTTTATATCCAATTGCATTCTCATATTACGACAGAAAGAATTCAAAAGACCCAAGTAATGAAGTTTTTAAATCCGCTGTGTTGTCACATCAGAATCTTTTCTACAAGTTCATAGATCCAAAAAAGCGTTTCAGCATCAACTGGAAAGAGAAGAGAAAAGTAGGGAAGTATTGTGAATGCTTTGGAAGCACTCAAAGTAAGTGCTATCCAAGAACAAGTTTACTTTGCAAGTACTTCACTGAACCAACGAAGTTGATTTTTTAGGGCAAGCAGTTGTCTCCGATTCAAAGCAAAATCACAAATTTTGAAAACAAAACTGACAAGTAATACAAGTATTGGATGCTTACATGAATCTTGTGAATGTAGAGGTCGCGAAACTGGGCCATATGACCACGATACCGATCGACGAAGAGTAGCCTCCGAACACCATACTTGCGAAGATTGTGAGAAATGCAGAGAAGAGAAATGGCAGCGAGAAGGGATTGAGAAACGAAGATTTCGAGCTCGAACACTCTGATCTGATACTTCTCACAATCAGAGCAATACGAAAACTCGATTATAAGAAACGGAACAGCCAAGCCGATCGCGAGGAATGAAAGCCAGGAGAGAGTGAAGCTGAGTGGAGAGTAATGACAAAAGCCGAAGAATCGAAGAAACAACTCCAATCTCTGTAGGTACTTGTCTAGTTGAACGTCTTCTGATGATGATTGAGTCGCGGCTGTGTCTATCAGAGAGATTTCAGTTGAACTCTCGTCAACTTCCATTGTAGAGAGAGAGAGAAATTGAATATGGAGAGTCAAAGATCTCTGATTTTGAGTTGCAGGGAAAACAGAGCAAAACTGAGAGATATAAAGATCGTTTAGGGTGGTGCTGGTGCGACACACCAACTAAACTAGTGTACTCAAAAGGCCATTGTCGGTGTTTGGAAAGTTATTATTTTAATAATTTTTTTTAGTTTTTAATTATTTTAAGAGGTTAAAATTTTTGTATTTAAAAATATAATTTGATTTTTTTTATAATTAAATATGATATTTGTAAAAAAAATAAAATGATTATAGATTTGAGGTAACATATTATCTGAATTTGTTTTTTTTTTTTAAATTAATTTTGTTTTTTAGTGTTTTTTTTTTTAACAAAAAAACAAAAATTCATACTTTTCAAGTCACTTCAAAATTAATTGGTTTATGTATTTTGCTCCACTTTTGTGGTGGGCTGTACCATGTAATAGGATGACTGTCAGGTGAGGATCCTTCATGCTAATAGTTGCTGTTTTCTTTTCTTTTCTTTTGTTCTTTTTTATGCATCACGCTATGCTTGCAAAGTTAGGCTCTTTAGGGCCGTGTTTGGATATTAAATTTATGGAGGAAAAAGAAAAATGATATTTTAACCTATCTTTTCATGAATATAATTTATTTTTTATTTTTTTTGGGCACAAAAAGACAGTTATTATGTTAGTAGTTAGATTATAATAAAGGCAAATGTCTCTATAAACTCAAACTTGAAATCTCACTCACCTTGATACCTAAGTGTCCTCTTCATGACCACTTAAGCAATTGCTCAGAGTCAAATATAACCAATGCTATAATCTATAATTTATTTGTCTCCTTGTTCCTAAAAATAAATAAATAAATAAATAATGTGTATATACATATAACGGATGCTTTAAAAAGGGAGTTTTGCTTTAAGTCATCGTGAACTTGTAGGGGTGATTGCTAAAATCCACAGCTCCTCCGTTACATGGAGGTGAAACAATCTGCAATTTTCTCCATAGACGAGACAACAAAAGTCTTGGTTTACCAAACCAAACAGCCATCTATGTTCTCATTGATTAGCAAAATAAAGAAGCTAATTTACAATTAGAGGAATAAATTCAAGATCCAAATACAGCCTCAGTCAAATTTCTCGTGGGGTTACTTCCAAGCCACAGCATAAATCAGCGAATGACAATAAATTTGGACAAAAAAGAAAAAAGAAAAAAGAAAAAAGAAAAAGGTTATGAGCCATAAAAAAGAGGAATAAAATAGACAACTGAGAACAAATCAAATCTAAATACATCCAATAATGTTTGACAACTGAGAAAATTCAACTAGTCCTATTTGCTCACTTTCGAACAAGGCATACAAAAATTGTCACAATATCCAAGCCTCCTGTTGAGGCAAAATATGCTTCACTGCTTTAGTACACCCCACAAGAGGCTTCATCACAAAACGGTCAGTGAGTATACATTTTGTGATACTGTAGAACCTCCAACTTCCACCATTACCACAAGAGCAGATGTTCATATAGTAGACAAAGCAGCAATAACTTTCACCAAAAGAACCATTTTTTGGTTGTAGAACCTCCGACAACTCCAACAACGGGCTCATCCTTTTTTCTCTTTTCCATTCCCATCTTCAAGGCCTCCAACCTTCTCCTGCAAATGGTTCAACTTAAGCTGGTAGACAACAATCACAGAGGTTCAACGTGAAAAAGAGAGAGGGGGAGAGAGAGAGAGAGAGAGAGAGAGAGGTTTAACATCTAATGGTACATCAAAATGGAGAACTTTTGAGGCTAATATTATTGATGCTGCTATGATACAAAGAAAAAAAAACGTGCTTTACCACTGCCACTCATATACAAAAATATGTGCATCCAAGTGTTATTTTTCTCAGTGTAGCTCAAGTGGTTGTACCTTAGATTTCTAGAGGGAGGTTTGGAGTTCGAGCTTATGAAGAAGCATTGACTGTGTGGTTGTGCTAACCTAACTAACATTCTATAACCAGTGCAAAAAATAAGAATAAATAATTGTTTGCTATTCTCTCTTTTTCCTTCCATTATTTTACAATGTAAACCAGTTGACTCCTAATACTTTGCCTTATGTATTTAATAGAAATAGAATATGAAGTTTCATGCCTCTTGGAAATATTTAACCAATGCAACTGGTTACGATTAGTTTTTCCTCTAACTAATTGAACCATCAGCTTGTAAAGTGAATGGTCAAAATGAATCTTTAAGCCACCTGGAACATAGAAAAGAAAAACAAAAGTGTGCTTAATCAAAATACAAGTGTGTAAAAATACTTGGTATCTGTGAGGTGACCATGTAAACTCCATCTCTGGCGAAATCCATCCATGCCTTCAATTCCACTGGCCAGAATTAAGCGCCTACAACATTGAAAAAACATAATCACTGTAATCAATTAATCCCACAATCAATCTCAGGGGCTTTTAGAGTTATTTAAAAGAAAAAAAGAAAAGAAAAAGGAATATGTCAAAGATAAACAGGCAAATTCTCATGTATTTGTTGGTTTTAGAGCCAAATCTTTTAAAAAGCTGATCCCATAACGAGGGAAAGGAAGATTGTGAACATGAACTATAATTTCTGTTTTTGTTTTTGTTTTCTTTCTTTCGTTTGCTCTTTCTTTCTTTCTTATTTTTTATTTTATTTTTTTATAGAGTAGCATGGTGGGTAGATTTTATGTCCATTGTAGGAACAACAAAAACGCAAAACAGAGAAAAGGAGGAAAACAAAGTCTACAACACATAGCGTATGTTGGAATAGCATTATATTGCCACCTTTAAAAAACTTTCACAATTCATAAACATGTCATATTTCATGCTTGCTTATGAATACTAAATACCTATCCAATGATGTGACTTCTGATTCTAGTTGAGCCGCTCTTTCGTTTGCTTCATCTAAAGGCATAGTTGACCCCAATTTGCGCTCACTATCTTGAAGTCGTTCCCTTAGTTCCTTATCCTAAAGTCAGTTGAACAATCTGAATTAGACAGGTGATAAAATGCAATAGAATGAAGAGACCTCCATTTACAATATATTGACATCGCAACTAACAAGAGTAGTAGAAAATAAATCAACTATTATCTCACCCTTTTCTCTGCACATTGCCGATATAGAGCAATCTCATCCTGACAAAATGGCTCAATATCATTGATTTGCAAACCTATAACATAAAGCCAAAAGGGGCAACAGGAAAAAACATTTAAAGAACAACAAAACTTAATAAACGAGAGAACAAGAACAATAAGGAGAAGGGAAGGAAAAAAGGCAGAACTTACACAAAAATAGGTTCCTCAATATCCCATCACACAAATCAACGCCTTCGAGTACATGAGAGGCAATTTCTGGTGGAATGAGTGGTGATGGAGGCCCCATCATAAGATCATCACCGACCAAAATAGTTTCCTCCATCATTGGTTGCGAATCAACTAAAATCCATGAAAGGGAAACAACTCGTAAGTATAATTCTTCCCTGGTTTTAAAGCTTTGTTACATCAAGTAGCCTACAAGATACTCACTAGAGCTCCAAAATACAAAGGTATGATGTGAGGCCTAGGATCTAAAAACATTGACATGTAAGCTTTATGGCACAAGCTCAAGCCACATGTCTATGAAATAATTTGATTTTAACTGATGATAGAAAAACGGGGGAAAATAATATAGTAGGACCTTTTAATTCCAAATTTGTACCACCAATTAATATTTGATTGATGGGAAACCACAGTTTCAAAAAGATTCTAAAAAATTTAATCATGAAGCAGCATACATGTCAAATCCCATGTATTGATTTGAGGAACAATAAATCAACATATATGTGAGAGTGTGTGTGTGTGAATATAAATATACTCCACCTTTGGTCCTTCAAGAGGGGTAGCTCTATTCTTTTCTTCATATAATACACAACACACATGCCAATAATAGAGGAACTTAAAATGTTGAATTCAATGTTCCATGTCCACTCCACACTTTGATAGGTGATTTGGAAGGAAATCAAATCCTCAAAAGCATTAGCAACAAGAGCTTCTCCACAATCCTTGTGCATTCTAAAACACTCATTGGAACATTTCTTTCTCATATATGTTAAGAGATCCATCCAAATTTCTAATTATTTCAGCCTGGATTGATCATCCTATTATTTGTCACTTCTATAGCTTATACCACCACTCAAACAATCACAATAGTTGCTAGCTCCCAAAAAACCTAACCCAAGTAAATAGAAGAGCAATATCTCATAAAAGAGTTAAAATGTTTTTGAATAGAATAGAACTTCAAAGTTCAAACCAAGGGTTTCAAACAAGGGTTAGCATTTTTTGAACTAGTCTCTTCTGGTCAGTGACGAGTGAGAGCAAAAAATAAAAAATCATTGCAAATAATGTCAATGAAGATCAAAGTACGGAAATTCAAAATTCATATACATGTAATAGAAAGGCATTTATGTATGTATGTATGTAGGTAGGTTTCACATACCATCCATGATTGCTTTGTGTTGCTCTGATTAGACGCCCCCAATATCAAATTCAGTGCACGATCAGGGTTCTACGATTACAGGTTCAAACAAGAAAATGTGAAAACCAGCCAACCTATCACCAGAAATTACATATATATATATATATATATATAGCAAGAGAGTCTCAAACAGACCCTTATTGAATCTTGAAGAACAAAAGCTTACAAATTTATTGAATCTTGAAGAACAAAAGTTTACCAATTCAGTCAGTGTTCCAAGCCCCAGAGGATCACGTGAAGAAAATGGAAAAGCCCCAATTTTTAAATTGAAAAACCCTAATGGATAGTTTGGCGGCAGGGATGCAATATCTTAACCATTGCATAAATAAAATGGCACCAAATGATCATAGATGAGTCGCTGAACAATGTACCCCCAATTGCCCAACGCGAATTGTTTGTCTTCTTGCATCATCACACAATACAAATTACACCGTAGGCCTTCGTCATTTGGAAAAAGTTTTGGAGAGATTAGTATAATTTATTCAATTTTTTTTTTTCACTTTTTTCACTTTGTCTTTTAAATACTATATGTGTTGGCAAAAAAGTTATTTCTTTTTGAACCTTTTTAACCCAAAAAAAAAAAAAAAAAAAACCATTAAATATTAATAACTCTACTGAGCTGGCAAACAAAAAATTAAAAAAAAAAAAAAAAACAAAAAAAAAAAAAAAAAAAAAACTTCAATGGAAATACTTGTCTAGATTAGTCGATCTAGTGAGTTAGATATCAAGTTATCAAAATAAAAAAATATAAAAAAAACACACACACAATTGATGCCTCAAACACTCTTATTTGGAAGGTTTTAAAGCTGACCATTGTCAAAAATAAAAATTATTTGTTGTAACTATTGATTTTTGTGTGTTTTTTGAGTAAAAGATTAGAAAAAATTGTAGGTTGGTTACCAAACATACCAAAAAATATCATATGTTTGAACAATGAGTTTACACTTAGGGCATAATTGATTGACAAGATTAGAGTATGAGATTGAGATTATTAATCCGTGGATCCAATAATTCTGTATTTGTTTTGAAAATTTGTTTCAGGACTATTAATCCAACAAATTTGTAAGATTATTAGTAATGAGATAAGAGGTGAGATTATATATCCTACGTTGGGAAATAAAATAAAAAGACTCTTTTACCTACTAATCCAATGCATATCAAACAATGGACAAGGGGATAATTTATCTTATTAATCTAATTGAATAGTAAATAGCACCCTAATTTTATGGGATTATTAATCCTTTCACTATTAGTCTTTTGAATCAAACATGACCTTAAGGTCTTAGCTTACAGTCATATAAATTGCATAATAGCCCCCACGATATGTATGGAATTTTGACAATTAACATGATCATTTACAAAATTTGTATACTAATTTAACATTTGTTTCACATACAAATTTCTAAGTGAAAAAAATTATAATTAACAACACACGGCTGTGCAAGCAAGAGACAATTTCTGATGGAATGAGTGGGGATGGTGGCCCTATCATAAGATCATCACTGACCAAAGTAGTTTCCTCCATTATTGGTTGTGAATCAACTAACATCCATGAAAGGGAAACAACTCGTGAGTACAATTCTTTCATGGTTTTTTTGAGAAATCAAGTAGCCTACAAGATACTCACTAAAGCTCCAAAATGCAAAGGTATGATGTAAGGCCTAGGATCTAAAACCATTGACACGTAAGCTTTAAGGCACAAGCTCAAGCCACATGTCCATGAAATAATTGGATTTTAATCGATGGTAGAAAGATAACAAAAAATAATATAGCAAGACCTTTTTAATTCCAAATTTATATCAATAATTAATATTGATTGATGGGCAACCACAGTTTTAAGAATATTTTAAAAAATATAGGCCATGCTTGATTTATATTTGTGAAACAATTTTGAAAAATAATTTTTTGTAAAGAGTTTACAAAATTTGAAAATTTATTTGATTGTATGTTTTGAAAATAGTTTTGGAGATTTAGAATTTAGTATGATTTTTTATTTTCATTATTATTACTTTTTTTTTAATTTTTTTTTTTATAATTGAATAAATGAGTGTGAGAGAAAAAAGTGATTGATTGATGTGTAAGATATGAGAGAATGAGAGATGAGAGGAAAAAAAAAGTGATTAATTGATGTGTAAATAGAGAGAAAAATAATTTTGAATTTTTTATTTCAAAATTTTTTGACCAAACAATTTTTTAAATTTTTTTCTCAAAAATTATCTCTTAAGAGACAAACCAAACAAGGCCTTAAGCATTATGCAACATACATGTTATTGATATCAGGAACCATAAATCAACATATATTTGTGCGCGTGTATATGCATAAATGAACTCAACCTTTTGGTCATTCAAGAGGTCCAACTCTATTCTATTCTTCATATAATACACAATACACATGCCAATAATAGAGGAACTTAAAATGTTGAATTCTGTGTTCCATGTCCACTTCACACTTTGATAGGTGATTTGGAAGGAAATCAAATTATCAAAGCATTATCAACAAGAGCTTCTCCACAATCCTTGTGCATTCCAAAATATTCCTTGGAACATTTCTTTCTCATATATGCAAAGACATCCATCCAAATTTATAATTATTCAGCCTAGATTGATCATTCTATTATTTGTCACTTCTATAGCTTATTCCACCAATCAATCACAATGGTTACCTAACCTAAGTAAATAGAGAAGCATTCTGTTGGCTACATATTTTGTACAAGCCAGTTACAATTCGACGCGTGGCAAAGTAAGGGTAGTACGGGAAGACTATTCAAATCTTCGATCCTGATCGTACACGTGGCAGTTAGTATTGGTTGTTACGAGATCTGAGTAGCAGTGGATCAACAAAGAGATACAAGGTAATGTGGTATCAACGGTTATTCACATTCAAATTCAAATTCAAATTCAGGAGGAAAGCCTAACTGCAAGTAATGGCGTAATGGAGCTAATTTTGAGGTAACATGATCAGCGATCATGGAGAAGCAGTTCGACGGTTGGAAATACAGTTCGATGGTCATCCTTGAGCAGTATAAATAGCAGAGAAGGCCCCAGAAAAAGCCCCCAGACTCAGATCCGAAAACCAGTCTTATTATACTTATTTCAGTTTTACATTTCCAGTCTTACATTTTCTGTACTTTAAATTCCTGCACTGCACTTCGTTCATAGGAGTAGTTTCAAGTAGATTGTTGCTATAAACCTCTACAAGGCTGAGTTTGAATCATTGTAAGTTTTTTCATGTTAATGAAATACTTCAACTGTTCTTTATTTAATTGTTATTTTGCTTAATTCTCCTAAATCAAGCCACAAATAAAAGTCCTCTTCATTGAGGCTGAAAGAACTAAAATGCAATCGTCTGATAATTGGTTGGCAATTAATTTTCTGTAAGGACTGATTGATCCTTGTTGGCACGCTCGCAATTACAATTATAACCTTCGAAAGCTAAAAAGCCAACATTTATTTTTGGCACGCCCAGTGGGACCAATTGAAATGGCTAGACGTAGGAGACAAGGAGAAAATGAACGCTTGGAAGAAGGCGTGGAAGGAGAGGTAGAGATACCTAATCCAGAGGATAATGTGATAACACATCCTGTGGAAATTCCCATTTTATCAGAACCTATGGTCGAACAGACCAGTACTTCAGAACAAGTACCACATGTTCGTAATGTTGGGCGAGACCAAGGAATTGGACCATCCACTGTCCCATCTACTCAACCAATAAATCCTTGGGGTGGCTTAATAGATGTAATGGGACAACAATTAATGAACACAATGGAAAGGTGGGCAACATCCTTTTTGGATCGAATGAACAACCACCAATTAACAAACGTAAGACACATGGAGGAAGTTTCGAATGTCCCTCAGTAAAGATTGACTAGAGATAAACAGCCTATGCAAGTTAATGGACATTCTAATGGTCAAACTAGTAATCAGAACTGTGAAAGACCATCACCTCAATCTTGGTACGAGCCTATTCCGAGGCCTATAGCAGGTCAAAATGCCTCAGTACTTAACAATGAAGCCATATAATTTGGTGGATCTAGCCCAGTACAAGAAAATGGCATAAGAATGGTTCCAAATCCCATGCTCGAAGCCATACCTGGCACAAGGGGTTTTACTAATCCCTTACTCGAATTTATACCCGGGGGGTTGGAAGGTTTTCCTACAAATGGAAGAGACACAACACCAGTTCCAGCACCTTTCGCAGGTCCTTTCGCAAGACAAATTCAAAGGGGTTACCCACACCCCCAACAGCAACCTGCACCACAGGGACAACCAGTCCCAAACATGCCCCCTTATGGACCAAGAGGACCGCAAGCACAAGTTTGTCCACCTCCTGTGTTTGTTCCTCCAGCGGTGGTTCAGTAGGCACAAAATATGGTCCCTAGGGACCAAATTACTGACATCGTTAGGGAGATGTATAGACCAATGGCTCGGGGGGTCCAGACTCTTGTATACAGAAAACCATACCCAGAATGGGTAGATAGGGTACATGAATACCCAAGAGGTTTTAGGATACCAGATTTCGCCCTTTTTTATGGGAATGGAAACCAATCAACAGTAGAGCATATTGCTAAGTTTGTTGCTCAATGCGGTGAATTTACTAATAATGACTATATGAAGCTGAGACTGTTCCCAAACTCTCTAACTAGGGGAGCATTTGTATGGTACATTAACCTTACACCTGGCTCAATCCAAACTTGACAACAAATAGAAGAGGCATTTCATGCCCAATTCTTCTAATCGAAGACAGAGGTTTCCATGGCAGACTTGGCAAGGTTGAGTCAAAGGCCTGAAGAGAAGGCTACTCAGTTTATTGCTAGATTTAAAAGGGCTCGAAATAAATGTAGAGTCATCTTGCCGGAGCCAAAATTCGTAAGATTGGCTCAAAATGGCTTAGAGTTTAGGCTTCGAAAGAAGTTTGACTCAACAGAGTTCAGGGACTTAGCGGAGCTAACTTATAAGGTATCTAGGTATGAAGCATTACTAGAAGAGGAACAAGATCGAAATAATGCATCGTACAAGATATACTACAAAGATCCTAACTATGAGATTGATGCAGCAGAGATTATGGGGAAAGAACCTGTGATCTGTGAAGCATTAATTCATAAGGATACAACAATTGACCAGCAGTTTAAAAAGAAAGACCTTCACCGGAAATACTCTTTCGATTTAACTAAGGCAGATGACATTTTTGATCATTTGCTTGCGGCCAACTTCCTTAAGTTACCAAAAGGGGTTAAAATTCCATCTCTTGATGAACTTAAAGGAAAAGTATATTGTAAATGGCATAATTCTTGGTCTCACTTGACTAAGA